ATCACGAATGACTAAACCACAGTTCACTGCGCCTCGGCTGTTCCTCATTGGGACCGGGGTCGGTAATCTATCTGCCTACCTATCGGCCTCCCAGGGCCTTACCTACAACTACCCGAACTCACCATGACGCACCAAAGCAATCGAAAGGATGGGTGAGGACTGGGGACCTGCGGAGGGCAGGGTTCTCTGCTCTTCGACTCTCTGACCTACCACGAGCATGGAATTGATTGCTCCGCCCGCAAAGCAGCCTTAGAGGCCTTGGCCTAGGGATAACCCGACTGGAGGACCGAAGCGATGCTCAACGGTACATATTCTACCGGCGGCCTGAAACGAGATGGTTCCATTTTCTATTCCGTATCCTTCGTGATTCTGGAGCGCATGGTATGGTCGTAGATGCCCTGAGCGGTGATCTGCGCTAGTCTCTCCTCTCTTTGGTACGTGTCCCTTGGCAGGACACTACGTACTGCCGCGGCTGTTCATCTCTCCAGGCCCCAGGACAACGCATGCTTGTAGAAGATCCCGTCAGCCGTCCGACGGCTCCATGCGATCCCGGCTCTTGAAGATGGGCCATTCGCCACGGCCCCCTACGACGCGAACGAGACTCTTGAGGTTAATTTGATGGAAGAAGCATGGAGGGTGTGCTTGAAAGTTGATCTTCGTCGCAATATCGACCGAGGTCCTGGGGGAGGAGTATCTTGTCCCCTTTCATACGGGCGAACATGACGGTTGGAACGTGAAGCGCTCTTCACTACCCCAGCCTGTCACACACCTTCGATCCAGCCGGCACTTCAATCTCTGCAGCGGATTGCGTATAAATGCAACGCCAGGATTCCGGATCGCCAGCCCCTCCAAGGCCTTTCTCGTCTTCCCAATGGCTTTCAGCAAAACTCTGACCGTGCTCGCTGTGGCTGCCGTCGCGGCGGCTAAAAGTGCTATGGTGCTGCAGGACAGTCGGGCCACCATCCCTGCTGGCTTCATCAACCACGGGCCGGCTCCAGCGGCTCAGGAATTGGAGCTGCGTTTCGGTCTCGCGGGAAACGACGTGAAGGGACTGCAGGCCAAGCTGATGGACGTCTCGACACCTGGAAGCGCCAACTTCCGTCAGTGGTTGTCGAAGGAGGAGGTTCGTCCCGTGTATTTAGGCGCCAAGTGCTGGGTGGACTGAGTACATGCAGGTCAAGGCTCACATGGCGCCCTCTGCGGCGACCTTGTCGGCTTTCAACGCCTTTGCGTCCGCCCATGGGTTGAACGCGACTCAGTTCTCACCATCCGGAGATTGGGTCACCGTCACCATCCCCGTTTCCAAGGCCAACGAGCTGTTCGATGCCAACTTCGAGCTGTTCTCGCACCCCGACCTAGATGGCAAGATCGCGCGCACGATGTCCGTTTCTCTTCCGAACGAGATGGTGGGCGTCGTGAACGTGATTCATCCCTCGACGGCCTTCGCCCCGCCCCCGTCCAAAATCGCCCCACCGCTGATCCAGACCCCGCTGTCCACGCTGAAACGTGACGTCTCGGCATCGTGCAACACCAGCGATCCGAGTGGGATCACCACCCCGACATGCCTGCAAGAGTTGTATGGCATCCCGGCCACCCCGGCCACTCAGCCCGATGGCACGATTTTCGTGACGGCGTATGGACTCGAGTTTGCGCAGACGGCCGACCTGCAGGTGAGCGGAGTACTTTGCGGTGGCATTCCCGCAGCCTGACTGGATTGATCCAGTTGTTCTTGCAACAACTGCGCCCGGACATGTCGTCGTCCACGACCTATGGTGTTGAGACCATCAATGGAGGCCTCGATGCGCAAGGAGATGGCTTCGGTGGTGTGGAAGCCAGCCTGGACATGCAATACACCGTTGGTCCGTCAGCGGCGATCTCCTCACCATCCGTTTCGCGTGCTCAATCAGTGTCAGGTGTGGCCACTGATGTGCCGACAACTTACTTCGGGAATGGAGACTTGGACGACATCTTCAGTGCTTTCCTCTCAACGGCGACTTACCTCCAAAACGCCACCAATCCTCCCTCGGTGATAACAACATCGTACGGAGTGGACGAATCCACCGCGGATCCCGCTCTTGCAAAGTGCGTAGTTATTGCATACACCCCATGACTGGGAGTTCTCATGGGTGATATTGCAGCTCTATATGCGACGCCTACATGGCGCTGTCCGCTCGGGGCGTGTCTGTTCTTTTCGCTTCGGGAGACGTGAGGTTTTCTCCCGTGTCTAGTGCTCTTGCCCGGCTGACCTTCCCAGGGTGGAGTACGTGGCGGTCACGACGATTCGAGTGTCTGCAACGACGCGGCTCTCGCCCCGACATTCCCCTCGGGCTGTCCGTTCCTGACCTCCGTCGGGGCAACGCAGGGTATTCCGGAGAAAGCCATCAACTTCACGAGCGGCGGGTTCTCCAACATCTTCCCGGCGCCGGCCTACCAGACCGCCCAGATCGCCTCTTTCCTCAAGACGGTCCCGTCTGACTTCAACGCCACGTTCAACCTCACCGGGCGCGGATTCCCCGATGTCTCGACCCAGGGCTGGAACTTCGAGGTCATCGTCAACCGTGTCCCTACTTCGGTGGGTGGCACGAGCGCCGCCTCACCCACGTTCGCGTCGATCATCGCGCTGATCAACGACCGGCTCATCGCTGCGGGCAAGCCCGTGCTCGGCTTCCTGAACCCGTTCCTGTACGCCAATCCGGACGCGTTCAATGATATCACCGTCGGCCACAACTCTGGCTTCGTGTGCCCTGAATCCGGTGTCGGGTTCGACGCTACAACCGGGTGGGATCCCCTCAGTGAGTCGCGGTCGCCTATGTTTCTGGCCCGTGTACGGTTGCTGATGTAATGCGTTTGCCTTTCCTAGCGGGACTGGGAACTCCCAATTTCACGAGCCTCCTTGCCGCGGCGATGGCCTGAGTGAGCGTGGCGCAGGATGAGGTTACGAGCGCATGGTCGACTGGTGCAATATCTGAGAACTTGATTCCACTGTATGTAGTGTTGATTGATCGAGATATGTGTGAAATCACCTCACCGTCTTGGTCATCCCCCAACTCCTACTCATCAGGCGACCTGTCACATCTTTGCTTTCCCGTGAGTCCAGAGCGACTGCACGTGGATAATGGGAAGAACGCAGGTTCACAGCCGGCTCTTTGCGCGAAGTTATGAAATGTCTGTCTCACGTTTGCTCATGTAGTTCAATTGATCGGACATCATCGACCATCGACTGGCCACCGGTCGCTTTGGAAGGCCGTTGGGAAGTCGCATTTTGGAATCGGGCGTAAACAAGTTCCGGGCGCTCGACGTTTGGCTTGGGGTACTCCCTGGTATTCCATTTACGCATCCGAGCGGGCAACGGGGAGCAGCGCGGTCTGGCCCCTATAATAACCATCTATCATCCATGCAAAATATGTGTCTTTCGACTACTTACTCAGATCGACTCATCGTCTGTCAGTCCATCGGATTCCGGCGTACATGTGCAGATCTTTACACGTGCGAGCTGACAGCCTCTGGAGGTCGATCGGATCTAGTGGTCAGCGGCGAGATCGCGAAAATGCGTAGTCCTGTGTGTGTACTACGATATTATACAGGTCAGGACCCCGGCCAGAGCTAGCGAGGGGAGCGGGTGGGGTCTACCTAGGAATGACACATAAGCCCTTGGCCACAAGCGAGGGTGAGCTAATGATGATTTATCCCGGCGTGATCTGAAGAACAAGATATCTTTCAAGTAAAATGCCAGAGAAAGCGATCGCACACAGGCTCTTGACGACCAAGTGGGGAGGGAGTTCAAATCGATAAAATATCACGGAAAATGAAAGATTCTAGGCCCTAGACCTGTTGCAATGTGTCGCTCACGTTGCAATAATTTTCGAACAATTAGGCGACTTACGCATGTGTGATGACCCATCCGCTGAAATGACACTCTCTCATTGACATCTCGATTGCGGAATTTGCCGTACCCTCATCTGTGAAGCAGCACCTTGCAAAAGAACCCACCCGAGTTGAAGAGATTGACCGTTTCCAGTCACCTCGACTTCCAGAAAGCACCAAGGAGATGAACCGGAGGATGCACTTCGCTCCCCTAAACGATTAGGGGTCAAAGCGAGTGTGTCACATCAAAGGAGCCGTCATCATCCATGTGTGAAAAGTGGTTCTAGTCTTTCCTAGGCACATAAAGATGCAACAGAGGAGGATGAGGTCAAAGAGGATGAAACAGGTTATGGTGATCAAAGTTCATGATTTATTGCTTAATTTTAATTAGTATAGCTCTTTAACATACCATAACTACCTCTCTGTGCAATAATATGGACGGAATCGGGCTGAGATGGGCGAAACGAAGAGTGGGATGTGGTGTGCCACTAGCTTTCTAAATCGGGACGTGTTTGTCAACATGTACAAATCGACAGAAATTTGGCAGCGTTGCCGGTCCCCATTACTTGGACTTTTTCGGGAACATACCGAGCGGTTGAAGCAATTGGAGCTGTCGCGGTCGGCTACACACACACCTTTACATAGCGTGCAAGCTTGCAGAAGCTCTCGTTAACCGTCGCAGATCCATGCGATGTCGGACCCCGGGGCTGGGGATTCACCGTGTTACCACCCTACGGCACTGCATGGCCACGAATGAAAATCTCGAATTCACATAATTTGATGGGAGAAGCCAGGAGTAACAGTTCATGTCGATGGAGGCTGTGGGCGCGATAATTGATACGCCGGGCACTCTCATGCGGGCGCCTGTGCCGGAATGTGACTGGAGCACGGAGACGCTCTCCACGATCTTTTCGTATCACATGTCCTCGCTCTAGTCGACGTCTCCAACCCCTGCCGCGGGATGAGTATAAAGCGACGCGATAATCTATGGATCAAGTCACCTACATCGAGACTCTTTTGAGTACACCTCTCTCCTTCTTTGCCCGAGCCCGCTTTTCGAATTTCTTCACGGCGCATTCTCCCTCTTACTACGCGCGGTTTCTCTCTCTCTTTCGCTCTGCACGCGCACCTCCTCGATGGCTTCCAGCAAAACTCTAACTATTCTCGCTGTCGCTGCAGTTGCGGCGGCTAAAAGTGCCATGGTGCTGCACGATAGCCTGGCCGCTGTCCCTGCCGGTTTCGTCAGCCACGGCCCGGCTCCAGCGACCCACGAGCTGGAACTGCGATTTGGTCTTGCGGGCAACGACGTCAAGGGGCTGCAGGCCAAGCTGATGGAGGTCTCGACACCTGGAAGCGCCAACTTCCGTCAGTGGCTCTCGAAGGAGGAGGTTCGTTCTGTTCTGTGTATTTTGGCGCTGGGTGCTGGGTTTGCTGAGCATATGCAGGTCAAGACTCACATGGCGCCTTCGTCGGCGACCTTGTCGGCTTTCAACTCCTTCGCGTCCGCCCATGGATTGAACACGACCAAGGTTTCACCTTACGGAGAGTGGATCACCGCCACGGTCCCTGTGGCCAAGGCCAACGAGATGTTCGATGCCAACTTCGAGCTGTTCTCGCACCCCGACCTAGATGGCAAGATCGCGCGCACGATGTCCGTTTCTCTCCCAAGCGAGATGGTGGGCGTCGTGAACGTGGTCCATCCCTCGACGGCCTTCGCGCCGCCCCCGTTCAAAAACGCGCCGTCGCTGATCCAGATCCCGGTGCCCAAGCTCAAGCGCGGCATCGCTGCATCGTGCAACACCAGCGAACCGAATGGAGTGACGACCCCCGCATGCTTGCAGGCAGTGCACGGCATCCCGGCTACCCCGGCCACTCAAGCCAACAACTCGCTACTGGTGACGGGGTATGTCACCCAGCATGCGCAGAAAGCCGATTTGCAGGTGAGTGGACCGCACGGGGGGACTTTCCGAGCCTGACGGACTGCTCCAGGCGTTCTTGGAACAACTCCGTCCGGACATGCATTCATCGACGGGGTTCAGCCTCGAGTCGGTCGATGGCGGAGACAACCCGCAGGGGCCTGACTTGGCTGGCTTCGAGGCGAGCTTGGACATCCAATACACCGTCGGTCCGTCACTTGCATTCTGACTACGGCCTTTGCCGTGTTCTGACTCGGATCCAGGTGTAGCGACTGGCGTGCCCACGATTTTCCTCTCGAATGGCAACGACACGGACATCTTCGGCGCTTTCATCCACACGGCGACCTACCTGCAAGGCGTCAGCAATCCCCCGTCGGTCATGACCACTTCGTACACCTTGGACGAACCGACCGTCGATCCTGCGGTTGCCAAGTGCGTCCATTTCTGTATACTCATGATGGCGAGTCCTCATGGATATCTGCTTCCAGCGCTATCTGCGATGCCTACATGGCACTGGCCGCCCGGGGCGTCTCCGTCATTTTTGCCGCGGGAGACGTGAGTTGTTATTCGTCTTTCGTGTTCAGTGCTCTGGCGCTTACAGCACCCTCTTAGGGCGGAGTGCGTGGCGGACACGACGATTCGAGTGTCTGCGACAATGAGGCACTGACCCCGGCGTTCCCCTCGACCTGCCCATTCCTGACCGCAGTCGGCTCGACATTCGGCATCCCGGAGAAAGCTGCCAACTTCTCGAGTGGCGGCTTCTCCAACATCTTCCCGGCGCCGGCCTACCAGACCGCCCAGATTGCTTCCTTCCTCAAGACGGTCCCGTCTGACTTCAACGCCACGTTCAACCTCACCGGGCGTGGCTTCCCCGACGTCTCCACCCAGGGCTGGAACTTCCAGATCATCAACAACGGCATCACCTCCTTGGAGAGCGGCACGAGCGCGTCGGCACCAACATTCGCATCCATCATCGCGTTGATCAACGACCGGCTCATCGCTGCGGGCAAGCCCGTGCTTGGCTTCTTGAACCCGTTCCTGTACGCCAACCCCGGCGCGTTCAACGATGTCACCGCGGGCCATAACTCGGGAGCTGTGTGCCCCGAGTCCGGCGTCGGTTTCGACGCTACGACCGGCTGGGATCCCCTCAGTGAGTTGCGGTCGCTGCTGTTTCGTCTGTGCGGCTGCTGATGTGTTCTGTTTCTCTTTCCCAGCGGGATTGGGAACCCCCAACTTTACGAGCCTCCTTGCCGCGGCGATGGCTTGAGGAGTAGTCGTGCAGGGGTGGGCTACCAAGGAGTGACGGACTGATCGATCTTTACTAAGCTTAATTTTAATGAAGTATTCAATGGCGGGATTGTCCTTCGACAAGTCTGAACCTATGTCCTTGCCAACGCCAGCTTACGGCTCTCCACCCTCGGACTTTCGCCAAGAGTGTTCCGCGTGGATGGGATGTGAAATCCACGCATTGTGTGCTGTTCAGCTACCGCGCATCGCAGCGCTCCTTTTTTTCTCCGTTCGACATGCGAAATCGGCTGTATCCCAGGGCCGATTCTCAACAGCGCTGGATCCTTACGTCTTTCGGATTTGCGCAGACCAGCAGAGGGTTCAGACAAATGTGTTTGCAGAAACGACTCATGGACAGTGACTATGTGAGTTGGCGGTGCTAGTGAGCAGGTCAGACGAGGGCTTCTCTGCAGGCAACAAAGCTCCAACTTGAAACCCAACAATGAACGCAAAAGCCTTGTTCTCATTCCGCAAGCATTAATCTGGTATCTATGTACAATGAAATCGTGGTACATCTGTCTCTCAGTGGGCAGCCATCGCGGCGGCGAGGAGGTTGGAGAAAATGGGCGTTCCCAGCCCAGCTGTAAGCACATTATCAGTCATACTGAGAAACGCAGGGATGCAGCAGCAGCACGGGAAACTCACTCAGCGCGTCCCAGCCGGTCGCAGCATCGAACGCCACCGAACTCGCGGGACAGACCAAGCCCGAGTTGTGGCCGGTCGTGATATCCGTGAACGCGGCGGGGTTCTTGTACAGGAACGGGTTCAGGAAGCCGAGCACGGGCTTGCCTGCCGCGACGAGGCGGTCGTTCACCAGCGCGATCATGGCAGCGAACGTCGGCGCCGACGCGCTGGTCCCGCCGATCAGGCCCGTCTGGCCCCCGATGACGACCTCGAAGTTCCAGCCCTGGACCGCGACGTCGGGGTACCCACGCCCACTGCGCGTGAAGTTGCCTCTGAAGTTGGACGGGAGTGTTTTCAGGAAGGAGGAGACCTGGGTGGTCTGGTACGTCGGCGCAGGGAAGACGCTGGAGAACCCGCCGCCGGTGAAGTTGACGGCCCTCTCGGGGATGCCCTGCGTCGACCCGACGGACGTCACGAACGGGCACGCCGCGGGGAAGACGGGCATGAAGCGGTTGTTGCTGCAGATGTCGGTCGTGTCGTGGTTGCCGCGCACACCGCCCTGCGACAGTTAGAATTGGGGAGAGCACTCGGAATGGGCACTCACGTCTCCGGACGCGAAGACGACGGAGATGCCCCGACTGCTCAGTGCCATGTAGCCGTTGCAGATTCGTCTGGTTGGTGGCTCTTCAGTCAGGTTGCATCGACCGCCATGACTCGACTCACGTTGCCAACGAGCTGCCGAACGAGGTTTCAGTGGATCCGTACGACGTGGTCATGACCGATGGAGGGTTCTTGACACCATCCAGGAATGTCGTGGTGTCGATCAAAGCAGTGGGGAATTCCACGGAATTGCCAACAGACAGGAAAGTGGCAGGGACGCCGGTCGCGATACCTAGCCCAAGATGAATACAAGGATAGAAGCGTAACTTGACACGCACCGATAGTGTACTCGACGTCCAAGTCAGCCTCGATACCAGCATCCGCGGAACTCTGGATATTAGCGCCTCCGTCAACGGTCTGAACGGCGAATGACGTCGAAGAAGACATGTCCTTGCGCAGGGTCTTCAAGAACGACTGCGAAGAGTGTTACTGCACCTGCCGCGGACAAGGACTATCTATGACTGTCACCCACCTGCAAATCCGCCGTCTGCGCCCACTGATCGATGTACCCCGTGATGAGTATCGAGTTGTTCTTCTGCGTGGCGGGAGCCGTCGGGATGCCGTACAGCGCTTGCAGGCACGCGGGCGTCATTACCCCGCTCGCAACACGGGTATTGCACGACGCCGGGATCGCGCGCTTCGCCTGGGACGGCACGTCCAGCTGGATCACCGACGGCGCGAGCCTCGGCTGCGGCTCGACGAACGCGGTCGAGGGGTGGATGACGTCCACCACGCCGACGATCTCGTGCGGGAGCGACACGGACATCGTGCGCGTGATCGTGTCGGCGAGCTCGGGGTGCGAGAAGACCTCGAAGTTGGCGTCGAAGAGGTCGTTGGCTTGCGAGACGGGGAGCGTCGCGGTCACCCAGTCGCCGTTCGGGGAGCTCCCTGTAATCTGCAGTCCCTGCGCTGCGGCAAAGGTATTGAATGCAGCAACGGTGTCTGCGGATGGTGCCATGTAGGACTTGACCTGAAGCAAACAAGTTAACGCTTCTGTGATCTGGAATAACGACGCGAGAAACGAACGTCTTCCATCGACAGCCACTGCCGGTAGTTGTCGTTTCCGGGCGTCGAGACCTCCATGAGCTTGTTCTGAAGACCAGTAGGGTTGTTCTGGGCCAATGCAAAGCGCAGTTCCAGCTGGTCAGTAGCAGGCGCAGGTCCATGGCTGACGAATCCGACGGGCGTAGTCGTTCTGCTCTCATGCAACACCATAGGTCCCTTGGCAGCAGCCACAGCAGCAATCGCAGCGAGGACGGTCAACGCGCTGGAGAAAGACATCGAGGAGATATACGCGTCCAGAGGAGCCCGGGAAGAGCTGCTGGGGTGGGGCCTCGATGCGCCGCCGGGTGATTCTTATAGATGGGGACGCCGCGAGTTCTCGTACATCGCGTGACAAAGAAGGCGACGTCGACATGTGGGCCGCAGCCTGCACTTTGTGCTCGTGTGTGTTGCGGAAGTCCTCGAATCTGTTGTAGCACTTTGGACGCGCGGCGGAGACGACGAAGGGTTCTGTCCGTGCAGTACAGGCTTAAGCCTGTCAGCGGCCAGATTGAAGACGATCCTGACCGGATCATCACACCTGCCGAAATTCGCTGGCATGGTTGTTGTTGATACGATCAGTGGAATTCCTTGTTCGACAGTGGAAGTTCGCGATCATGTGCGCCCATGACCTTCAAATTGTACTTCGACAGGACTCGACAATTCATAATGCGCTCAGAGAGATAGACGAGAAAATTACGAGCTAACGCGCCAATGTCGCGTCAAAAACGTATCTTCATCCGCGACGTCACGCCCAGCAGTCAGTCACCCGTGACATGTCGTGAGGACGAGACAGTTGCCATTGCTTAGTCTGATTGCTGCTGTCAGCAGGTAGGCTCGGCCATCTCGGGCCATCGTGATGGCAGACTGGCAGTATTGATGCTGTTTAAATCGACACCCCGCAGACGCCCAGGCTCCTGATCACATGAGGGGGCTGTAGCTAGACGCGGAGAGCAGGTATGGTCGCGAGCCGGCAATATTGCACCCAATTCCGGTATCGAATCTGTAGGTTCACCGCTCGAGAAGCAAAGATCGTTCATCTCATGTTGAACGAAGTCGGCCCTATCGATTGAATATATGCTCTCGATCCCGCATCTGCAACAGACCCTAAACGTGTATTGCGGGTCGGATATTTGGAAGTGGCTAAGTATTTCTCATTTGGTGGAGATTGCAGCGAAGACGGGACCTCTGCCGACCAAGTCCCCCGAGAATATTCGCCCAACACTGCTGATTAGGGCAAGTTTCGGATACCAGTGTGATTTCTAGAATCGTCTCTTCGGACCCAACTCCCATCCAGCTGTAGAACGTGCAGGTGGGGCTCGAAAATCACTCGTTCACCCGTTGATAGGTGGGTGTTCTCGATTTCAATTCGTCTGGAGTCAGGGCATATCGGAGCGGGTCGGAGCACGGCGACGTGCTCTAGACCCAGATGCAGACTCGCCCGAGCAGGGTCTCCAAGAGCTTCACATTACGTACGATTCCAACGTGAAGCTGATTCAAAACTCTCCAGAGTTTACCATGGTCGCAAAGAGAGCGACCGAGTCTTCTGCTTAATTTCCCAGCAATTTCAGTGTCTCAGGACCGTATGAGTAACATGGACCGGACCGGGAGCCCAGAAACCTCGATAAATTGCCTACCTGGAACTCATCGCGAAATCCAGCATCTGGCTCAATGTTCAGCCATCCTCGTTCGGCGCAATTGAACATATTATCACCCGTCTCGTCGATCTCATAAGTAGCCTCACGTCGAGAGCCTTCACCTCAGCGTAAATGATGTGTCGTTAATCACGTGACAGTTGTTGAGTTCACTGGGCAAAGGGAGCATCCTCAATCTGACTGGCGGATCGAGTGAGTGCACCGTAAACACGTTATCATTTCGAAGGCGGTAGCCTCGCAACACGGAAAACCCACGCCCTCGAGTCAACCCCGAGTAGATGGTAGTAGCTGGTACGCTCAAGGGACCGGCGCGCGCGCCGCGTCCTTCTCCTTGAGCAGCATCTTCTCCACGTTTGCCCCCAGAATCGCGCGATCCTCCAGGTTCATGAACGGGACGTTTGACGAGTAGCCGACCTCTGTGCAAATGAACCATCGCATCAGCGCGGTGGTCGTGGAGGTGGAGCAGGGGCCACATAAGGCAAGACGCACTCAAGCTGGGGTATTGCAGCGGAATCGTCTCGCTCCGCACGGGGAGCTTGCTCAGATCAAGCGGCCAAGAGGGCCCGATCCACGCGCTTCGGATTTGATGGTCTCTGCAGTCATCAGTCAGAACAGAAGGTGGATCAATGGCGACATCGGCAGCATGCGCTGGCGAAATCTTACGCGAGCTGCCAGGAGAGAACTGTGAGCGGGACTCCAACGCAGGATAGACGCTTACCTCTTCACGGGTTAGCGGGTGGACGAGGATGCTGGCGTCGCGCGTTCAGTCAGATACCTATAACTCGTGCACCGGGGTGCAGAGTGCGCACCTCAGCGGTCCACGGTGGAGCGCGAAGTACGAGAACAGCGACGCGAACGTCTCGGAGGGCGCCCAAACCTCATACGAGCCTATCCGTGCCAAAAAGGCAAAATAGACAAAAGAAAAAAGACCAAGATTCGGCAGGGTTGAGATCCTCAACGCGTTCGAGTTGGACATCGTGCTTACCGGCGGGGTGCGGGCCGATGGGATCGGTGTTAACGCGGAAGAGCGGCACGGCGATGAAGGCGCCGTCCCGGCGCAGCCGCAGCACAGCATCACGGAGCTCGAGAGCGTAGTGCTGTTCCTCCGCGTTGCCCTGATGGAAGTAGATATCTAGCAGCCCCGATGTGGGTGGTGTGTTCAGATTCGACGCAGGAAGCCCATCGATCGGGGGAGGGCAGGCTCACGGAAATGCCACTCTCTGTGCGAGTGGTGTGGTGAGTTGGTGCGGATGAACGGCAGAGGGTGGGATGGAGCTGAACTTGATTTCGTTCTGGAGGACGCTCTTGAGATCGGTGGGCGGCTTTTTGGACATGGTCGTTCGGGTCAAAGACGTGTTGACAGGTGATCGGACCGATCACGGTCTAGTCACGTCACTTGGGTGCTGTCAAACAAGGGCTTATTCCGAACTTCCTCGAGCTTGCTTAGCTCAAGAGTACTGAACACTGGCTTCTAGGCCCCTTTATACCTCACTAGAAGGCTTTCTGCTTCAAGCTGCACGCTGCCACTTCGAGTCATGTGGGGACTGCACTGCCGCCTACCATGACAGACAGCATTTTTTGCTTACCCGTCTTGGAGTATTAACATCTTCCAGTTCCTGAGTTGTGGCCCTACGTAAGCAGCTCCGATCTTTAAGCGCAAGGGCGCTATCTGCCGCCCTCTGACTCTGACGTGATGATTGTTGGACTCGCGACTAATTGGCTGGCAGCGTACTGGATATCAGATGGGATGGGGTGATAGCCCAACTCGCCCTCTGCGATGCAGTGATAGGCACTCGTAAGCACAACCCCGCTTTTCCTCGTCCAAAACGCTTTAAAGTCCCCGCACGAAGCTGCATCTCGCTCAATGCGATATCCCATCTTCGTACTACTCGTCGCACTGACGTCTGCGGCTACAGGCGCGGTTGCGCGTCCTGTCCCGGCAGTAAGCCCTGCCACATATCACGCATCTCTTTCTCCCATCTGATCATTTCAAACAAAACGCAGCCGATGGCGGACGAGGAGGAGATCTCGTGCGAGCGCAAGCGCCGGGTATGTACTCGATTGAGAACTCCCATCTGGCCTTGGCTTGGCTTGACCTCTTCACCAGGACGTCTCCGTGGACAGCGTGAACCAGGGATGGACGGTTGATGGGGACAACAACGGTAAGCGCGCCGTTCGGCACCGGCACCGAGTCGCAGTCGCTTATGACCGTAGGTTGGAGCGTTGACGGGGACAACTACGGCTGGACAATCAACGGCGGAGGACGTCGTGTCTGGCGGCGGAGACGGAGGCGGAGGTGGCGGCGACGGCGGAGGGTTTGGAGGCGGCGACGGCGGAGGTGATGGCGGGGGTGATGGGGGAGGTGGCGGCGGAGGTGGCGGCTGCTAGTAACATGGCTCGGGCCTCATGCCCCTGGAAATTTCTCGCGAGTGGTGAACTTCCTTTCACGTCTCTGAGGCTATCACCCAGAATCTTGCTGTAACGCATCCGCAGAGAGATATGAATCATCCGAGATTGACTGATTCGCCAAGCTGTCGCCGACCGCACTAAATTTCTTGAGTACGAGGGTACCGCTGTTCTATGCGTACTTAATCCGCGTCCTGGTCCACTCTCTCCAGGTACTGCGCTCAATTTCCTGAACACCCCCGTCTCAAATGCAGTTCACACGTCTCCTCGCTCTGGCAGCCCCAGTCGCACTCGGACTCGCTGCCGCAGTGGTAAGTACTTGACCCGCAGCCCGCGCTATGCACGATAACCCTCCCAAATTGCAGCCGCGCCAGAACACGGAGAACATAGCCTCCACGAAGCGAGAACCGGTGAGCATTGACCGGCCGACCGGTCGACTCTCTTTCAATTACTCACGTCGTCCGGCAGATCGAAGCCCGGCTACTTGCTGTACGCGGATGATGACTCATTCATTATTCGTGCTGCACTTCTCACCGTCTTCTCCTCAAAGGTCGATGGATACAACAGCGGATGGTCTATCGAGGGGAACAACGACGGTCGGTTTTCTTGTTTTGAACCTCCGCGCCCATTCACTCAGGTGTCTTGGAATAAAAATAGGCTGGGTCGTGGAAGGGAACAACAACGGCTGGTCTATCGGCCGCAAATAGATACTGAGGGAATACATCATTGAAACTTTCCGAATGACTGGTATAATCAATGCATGAGATCACAATGTCAAACGGGGAGAGATTCTCCGTTCGCACAATACGACTCGATGCCTTGCTGGTATCATGGGCTGCATCGAGCGTGTGGGCCTATCAGAATAACAAATTCTTGTCATCTCATTCATTGCAGACTGAGGCACTAGAAAATAAGTCCGCCCGTGTTGAAGCGAACAACGAACATCTGCTGATTGTCCTTCGAGCCATCCGCCAGCAGCCCCTATCTGCCTTTCAGTGTACAGCCACCTGTCGTAGATTCGATCAGAAGGTTTACTCAATTTGGCCACGAGGCGTCGAGTCTGGGAATATGCCAACTTAGCACAGGATAAGCAATAGACTTGCCGCTATTCGCGCGCCGCGGACATGCTTTCATGCCCCGTTTTCGCCAGCGTTACACTGCAGCACACCCGGCCCTGACTAATATCTTGTTTCTCCCTCCTGCGTCGTCTAGGCCGGCCGCCATCATCTCTATACCCGGGTTGTTCGTGGAGACGACGTCATTTGCGCGTAACCTAGGGGACTGGGGAGATTTCACAGCAGAGCCCATCGATACATAACCGGACGAGGGAACATTTTTGCTCGTTGTCTTCCCCTCCTACAGCCATGGCCATGACCCAGCGCCCACCGCGCAACTGCGACTACGAGCCGCTCCGCGCGTCCGTTTTGGACGTATTCGAGCAGCTGGGCGCTTTCGACGACGACAGCGGCATCGTGGAGTGGATCTTTCCAGAGGTGCGGGATGAGAAGGCGTCGCGGCCGAGGAGGCGGGTCAAGCTGACCGAGGTGTTCGACGACGACGACAACGACGAGATGGCGTCGGCTGCGGCGAGCGACCCACCCCGGCAATCCCGCACGTCGCGTTTCCTGAAAGGAATCCGGTCGCGGTCGAAGTCGGGCACCAGGAAGGATGTGAAGGAGAAAGATAAAGATAAGGGGAAACCATCAGCACCGAAGCACAAATCCGCGAAGAAGTCGAAATCTTCGCCGAACCTACGCGAAGAAGGGTCTTCCGTGCCGCTTCCAGAGCCCATCAAGCTGAGTGCGAGCACGGCTTCGGGCGAGCGCAGGGCGCGGAAGATCTCTTTGTTCTCGCGCAAGGAGCCCTCGCAGACTGCGGAGCTTCCCTCGCGGCCATCCATCTCCGACGAAGAGTGGCAGCAGATCACGATGACGGGATCTGTCGCGGACTATGACGACAACCCGTTCCTGGGCCACGACGGCAGCGGGAGTCCCCTCGTGCGTGCTTCCCGCGGCCACCGCGCCCGTGCTGACGCGACTCACCCACAGCCGCCGCTGCAGGCGAAACGCGACGGAGGTCTGCACGGGCGCATCTCGAGGATCGCGAGCACGTTCCGGTCGTCCACCTTGGGCCCCGCCAACACCACCCCCGACACGTCCGTCTCGGCCGGCGCGACGCCGCGCTCGAGCCCCCGCCCGAGCGTCACGCTGTCCGCGTCCCCGCGCCCAAGCGCCGACTCGGCGAAGCGCAGTCTGCGGCGCACCAGCGGCACCGTCGTGTCCGAGGCGGGCTCCGCCCTGGGCGTGCGCGTGGTCCAGTCCCCGTTGCGCAGTCGGCCTCGGGGGGACACTGCTGATGATGACGACGAAGACGCCGGGTCGATGACGCATTCGAACGCGTCGACGAGCACGCTGCAAGCTGTGCCGGCGCCCTCGTCTGGCTCGGAGGAGGGAGCGTCGGCTGTTGTGCCGCCCCCTGGACGACGACGAGGACTTTGCGCTGGAGACGACGTCCCAGATCGACCATGTGCGCACCCACCTTTCTGATATCACCGAGGGAGATGGTCGGAGGCTTCGCAGAGTCAGAGGAACTCGCGCGTCTCGACGGAGGAGACGGTCACTGCCGTGGATGATGATGATGGGATCAAGTTAGAGCATCGATGATCGTAGGGGTGCTTGTGATTTTCTTTTGGACTTTCGGATTCTGGTTTTCGGCTCACTTAGTTGCGTCCCTGTATGTATGCTCCGCTTATTTGTAGTCCTTACAGCCCTGTTAATAACAATAGAGCCTCGTCGTCCCTACCATGCAATAGTATCAGAGACACTTACATAACCATAACCCTACTATACGGCAGCACTTGTCGTCCGCCACCACACCACCACCAACACCACCATCCCGCATGTCCTATTTTCTTCCCCATCTGCCGTCGGGCTGGCACGTCGACGAAGCGATCAAATCCGAGGAGGACCGTGTGGTGGTGATCCGCTTCGGACATGACTGGGACTCGCAGTGCATGACGATGGACGAGACGCTCTATATGCCGTCTCGGAGAAGGTGCAGAACTTTGCGGTCATCTATCTCTGCGATATCACGGAGGTGCCGGACTTCAACAAGGTGCGTTTCGTGTTGGAGGGTCTCGTGCGGTGAGGTGCAGTGGGCGCTGACGAGGGGCGGTAGATGTACGAGTTGTACGATCCCTGCACGGTGATGTTCTTCTATCGGTCCGTTTTCACTTGCTGCACAATGTGTGCGAACGCTGAATCAGGGATGGATGCGCAGGAACAAGCACATCATGATCGATCTGGGCACGGGTAACAACAACAAGATGTGGGTCCCCTGTGCTCACTCGTGCGTCGATCCTGATGTCGGGCTCTAGCAACTGGGCTATGGATAATAAACAGGAGGTACTGCCCGCTCAGCATGATAAGTCGGTTCTCTCACGTCGTTTTTGGCAGTTAATTGACATAATCGAGACGGTGTATCGCGGCGCGTCGAAGGGTCGTGGGTTGGTCGTCTCGCCCAAAGGTGTGTGTCATTCCATCCTTCATCTGGTCGTCGGACGCAGGCTGATGTGGACAGATTACTCGACGCGGTATAGATACTAAGTGCGAGGTTGCTCCTTTGTGCATGTATGTCTCGCAATATACTCCTGTGAATGTCCTGCATACTGGCACCCGTGACCGGTGCCTGCTTGTTGATCGTTTTACCTCCGGATCCAGGCCTCGCACGTTCCATCTAAAGACTGTTGCGTGTCAGAGCACTCCACGCTTTACTTGGATCCCGCTTCCGTGGGAGCAAAACAGATCTAAGTAATCTTTGTCTTTTTTCTGGATTCTGGGACCGGTGCTACAAGTCTGCTGATGCTCTCCCCTGTGCTCTTGGGTCTATGCTTGGACAACGCGGCGTGCGCAGTCCATTGAGGCCCTGCGCAGTAAAATGAAGACAGGCTGAATGTGGGGCGATGTGGGGCGGCACGAGAAAGCTGTGCAGCCGAGGAGGATCGGATCCTCACCCCGCATTTGAATGTCTCCAGATCGGGCATCTCGGACTGAGTTGATCGCCTGCGTCATTCGAGCGTATTTCGACCGAGCTGACCGACGCGTTAATTAACCTCCATCCTTCTTCGCGTCATTCTTCGGATTACTGGTCAGATGCTCGATCTCCCGCTCGGCCGCTGTGCTCTTTAAAGGGACTTTGTCGAATGTGAATATTTCTCCAGTACCATCATGCAGTACTTCCTCGCTGTCCTCGCCTCATTCTTCGCTGTCTCTGCGGCTGTCCCGCTGCTCCCCCGGGCGCGGAGATGGCCAACGCTACGGAGATTCTCCAGTACGCGCTCACGCTGGAGCACCTCGAGGCTACCTTCTACGCCAGTGGTCTTGCAAAGTACGACAACGCCGCCTTCACCAAGGCTGGATTCCCGTCCTGGGTCCGTGGCCGCTTTGCGCAGATTTCACAACACGAGGCGGGCCATGTCGATTTCTTGACCAAGGCGCTCGGTAACGAGTCCGTTGCGGCATGCAACTACAGCTTGTGAGTTGGACGGACAATGGACCTACTCTCGAACGGTTCTGATCCATTTATTTTCGCAGCCCCCATACCGATCCAGCCTCGTTCGCGGCTCTTGCCGGCATTCTCGAGGGCGTTGGCACGAGCGCATACCTCGGTGCCGCGCACTTCCTCACAGACACGACGCTGACGGAGGCGGGGTCCATCCTCGCCACGGAAGCCCGCCATGCGGCGTGGCTGCACTCGGCGGTGCTGAAGCAGGAGCCGTGGAGTGGGGCGTACGAGACGCCGCTCGACCTGCGCCAGGTGTTCTCGCTGGCGGTGCCGTTCATCACGAGCTGCCCGTCATCAAACCCCGCGCTCCCGCTCATGGCCTTCCCCACGCTCAAGTTCACCGGCCCTAAAAATGGCGCCGTGACGCTCGATTACCAGACGAACCAGACGGGCGATGCATTCCTGGCGCTGTTCACCGGTGTCAACACACTCTTCGCTCCGATCGTCAACAAGACCGCGAAGCTCCCCAGTAATCTGCAGGGCACCGTGTATGCCGTAGTCAGCTCGAACGGGTCTGCTGTCAGCGACGACACCACCCTCGCTGGTCCTGCGATCATGCAATTCCCCTTTGGCGCCGATGCTAAGAACCCTTGATTCATTGGTCTTGCGAACTGTCTTTGCATCTTGTTGTGTCTCCCATTCTGTGTATCACTACGTACTGATTCGAATATGACTTCTTTTATTGTCGCATGTGCCGTTTAGTCAAAAAAAATATTATTACTGCGTTGCAGGATCTCAAGTATCATGAAGCTGAGCGCTTAGGAGGGGCGCCGTAGCATCCGCCGACGGGAATCCCTCCGCCGTTGATCGACCATCCATAGTTGTTCCCGTCGACGCTCCAACCTGAATTCCATCATGATCACCGTCGGTGAGAAAGTGCTGAATCATGGAAACAGGACACACCGTAGTTGTTTCCGTCGACACTCCATCCTGAGTTGACGCTGTCCACTGCCTAGACTCGGATGAGCTGCTTCCCATGCCAAGGGGCAATCAAAGCTAGGCGGATCGTACCACGACTCTTGAATCCAAATCTGCCGTCGCATCAAGCTGATGAAAATGAGATCATGGCGTCTGCAATGATTGCGTTATGGACCTACTCGAGGACACAGATACAATCTAGGCTGTAAAGATCCAGCAGTCATGCGTTAGTACTCGAAAGAACATCCATCTCAGAAGAGCACTTGGGCACTTACCACGACTGGGCGAGCATGTGCATGGCACAGCGCAGCCAATACGAAGATTCCAGCGGACAATCGCATTCTTAGTTAGGAGGGCTGTCGCTCTCCAGTTATCCTTAAATAAGTAGTGACATTGATCGCATGAAAGCTATCACGGAGATCGTCGTTGCACTTCCTATCACCCCATCTCAACGGCATGGATGTTAGAATCGATGTCGCATACGTCACGCTATGATATCTCAAGCGGAAGTTGACTTTCAACCACTCTCAACTCTGCTGGAGTGATCCGCCGCGTATTGTCCAACCATAATTGTTTCCATCAACATGCCAACCTGGTCTCGTCGTTCAGTCGGAGGCATGTTTACGGCTGAGGATTATAAATAAGTACGCGCACCGTAGTTGTTTCCGTCCACAGTCCAGCCAGAGTTGGCACTGTCCACGGCCTTGAACCGCCGAATCAGATGCTAGACTTGGAAATCTTATACATAGATGCAGACGCTCCTACCATTGCTGCTAGGGGGCGAGCAGAGACGTTTTGCAACAGCCCCATTATCAATGTAAAGATGGCAATTAGAGAACTCATCTTGATGTTAGGTCCAACGGCTACCACCCGGGTTCTTATAAGTCCCTTTCCGTTCTCATTTGGGCAATCCTGATTCGCCCTCAGAGGAGCATCAGCCGAGTTACCTGCATAACTTCTCCTATCACCCCATCGGCGGTCGGATGAGATGAGTGTTTCGACAAGCTAGGATCTCTGTGATCGTTCCTCCGATTCGATAAAAATCAATGCTTGGAAGGATTACTAAATATCGCCTACGCGACGTCATCTTCGAGGTCACGTTATCGCGTCTCTTCTTTCGGCTTGACCGCTCGTGGACGCTGCCACCGGGAACCGACTGACCGTACAACCTGGCATGGACCTTCCCTCCACTCCTGTCGTTCACCGTCGGACGTATAGATCTTCTCAGACCTCTGTTTCCCACACCTTTTCTCGCCCCGGCCTTCTCCGTTACAAAGCAAACCATTCCTTGGGAAATGAGAACAGCAAGAACGACTCCGACGGCAGCAAGTCTCCATTCCCTTTGAGACGCCTTCCAAACCTCAAAGAATCAACTAATAATACCCTCCTCTCACCTGCACTCACCGATGAAAGATATATGCGCTCATCAATTAGCTCTCCGCAGTCCCTGTCCAAGTCACTCCCTAGGCCTGTCCCCCATCAAGACTCTACATACCCAATTTCTTCTCATCCTCATTTTATCCTGTGGAGCCCCGTGTATCCGCTCCACCTCCAAATCCTTGGAACGCATCGCCGAAACTGATTTGGACGAAGAACCGATACAACAGCCTCCGACGAGCAGCTCCCCTCGCTTCTCCGACGCCCTCTTACCCTCGTCATCTCCACCGACGTCCATCCCCGACTGCAGCAGCTCCGATGACATAGTCCGGCCCATCGCCAACGCACCTCCGGTCATGACAGGCGTGAGCGAAGTGCTCGAATCGGCCGAGTTTCTGTCGCGATTGGACGACCTCCTGGATGTCGCTATCCGCGAACGCAAGATGGCTGTTGAGGTGGAGAAGGAGATATCTCAGCGACTCTGGATTCTGCAAGCAGCGTCGCGACAACACCGGAGTATCCGCGCGGAACTGTCCCCAGTAACATCAAGCGTGGCGTCCTCGCTCGGCGGATGTATTCTTGGTCTTCTGCGACGACAGGCTCTTTTGTTCCTCTTCTGCTAAGGGACGCATTTCCCAGTCTGAATCTCTCTCTTCTGGTGCCTCCTCTGCAGGATATGCTGCCGATATGGACGATGAATGTATGCTTAGCTCTGAGTAAGACTTGGATCTGCTTTCTTCTCGCTTGATTGGCAACTCTTCTCCCAGATCTTCAAGCTCTCCTCCAGCCTTCAAGAGATCTTTTTCTTCCCTCGATGACTCCACCCCCATGCTCGCAAGCTCCGCAAAACTGATTCTCAAACCTCGTGTTCTTCAATGCGAAGCGACTCTGATTCTAGCACAATGTCCCTCTGCCCCATCCGTGCCAGTCTGCGCAAGTCTCTCTCCTTGCGGACCTCCTCCGCGACACATGATGTGCGTCTTCTTCCCAAGGTCATACCCGTGCATTCCGCACAGCTGAACGACTCCAAGGAAAGCGAGCTGCCGCACGCCCGACCGAACCCAACTCGCCGCCGACGAAACGCCCGACGCTGGATTTCCGCCGAGCGTTCCCAGCTGGCGTTCCCGTCATCGCCCCGCCGGTGGGCTACGTGGCCGGGTTTCCGACGGCGGAAACGGCTGCCAAAGCCCGCATCGCTAGTTTAGTGCTTCGCGAGCAGGGGCTTCGAGAGAGGGAGCTGCTGGATTGTGCTGGTGCGATGAAGAAGACAAATTGGGAACAGCTGCTTGGTGTGGGATGTGAGAAGCGCCGGGATGTGGTGGAGTGGCTGCTTGAGGTGCGTGGATTCTGCGTGAATTGCCCAAAACTTCGCTCATGTGCGCACGGGAATAGGTGATCCCACCCAAGTCGATGTACTCGCGGGCCTTCCAGACCGCCTCTGGTGTCGAGCTCAAGCCTCTCAAGGACGAGAAAGACGGCGACGGCGAAACGAGCGGCGACATACCCGATCTCATCGACCAGTTGACGCACTCTCCCGAGACGCGGTTCCACGCCGCGCACATGTTCCTGCGCTATTTCCATCTCGTGATGCACGACCGCGCGCAGCGTGTCGATCTGGAAGCGATGAAGGCGTCCTTCGAGGCGTCGGAGGAGGGGCTGTCCTGGGATCCGTCCATCCCGCCCGACGGATGGAACTTGGTCGTGTGGGATATATGCGTGGGATGTTTGGCGATCAGCGTCAAGGTGTGTTGCGCGGCTGAGCTCTGCGGCGGGTTGCATTGCGACTGACATTCATGGAAGATACATCGAGATGTGCTGGAGCCGCTGGGGCCGGTGATGTCTTACGAGTACGAACGAATCGCGCCGCATGAGATGGGGTATGACGACCTTGAAGTGCGTCGCTTAACGATACTGTATTACGTGTATCTACTCACTCATCACAAGACCGCGCACCGAGACATTTTATCGGCATTCGATTACTCTCTCGGCGACACCCCGCAGGCGATTCTGGACGAAGTTTGGCGCGCACTGCCGTCTCTGAGAGCGCTTCTCCCGCCGAAAGCGGGGTGGGAATACGCGCAGAAAGGGACTTGGGCCCGGCTATTTTCGCTCATCTTAGGTGCGCCTCCATTCATGTTGTTGACATCAGTGGCAGGCTCCTCACCCGAGTTTAAGAACCTGATGTCCTCAAATATCCTGTATCCCTGCTCACCGTGGCGGTGCTCATTGAAACATTGATCACCGATGCCATGCATCGAGGCGAATACCCCTCTCTGTCGTCTAATGCGCAGCGTCTGGGACTGGCTGGTGATGAGCCTCGGAGAGATGAGATCGTGGGGTCGTGGGAGATGGAGCAAGGGCTGGAGGGTGTGATTCAGGATCTGCAGGCTGTGGTGCAGGTTTCGGATGTGCGTCGCTGTGGAGAGTCTTCTTTGGGGGCGGAATGTGGCTGATGATCTCATACAGGAACGATTGCTGGACTGCCGGAGATGGATTCGGGTGGCGTTGAAGAGTGACGATAGCTGAAGATCTCATACATGCTCTCGAACCGTTTCTGCGTGTTTATTTCGGTATGCTCAATCACATGATACTTCTTAGATACTAGGACGCTACAGTCCTTCTATGAGTCGTTAAGGTCAGCATGTGCCCAGTCAGAGTCGGACATGGCTTACGACAATCGTCCACACACTGCGTCTTGGGCTGGCACTCGAAGGCGTCGGGACTCCGTGCACAGCACGCGCGGCAGAAAACCAAGAACTGGAGGTAGATGTATACACGCGTCAGAAAATAGCGAGATACACAGTAGCCTCTCGAGGAAGAGCAGCTGGACTGACACTCTCGTCACCTGAGGCTATGCAGGTCTCTTGTCCACGCACACCTGAAGTGCATCTTGGTGGTGGCACCGAGTGGGTCGCCGCGCATCTTTTTATGGGATTTAGGCAGGGCGGATGTGAGATAAGGCGATGACAGGACACACGACTTGGTAGCATGGACTGGAGACAGGGCGATCTGTTCGTGGCATGTCATCTGGGGAAAGCCTTATCCTCAGGCGGTCGAAGACAAACAGATGGCTGGCATCGCATAGCATCCACTTGGAGTGAGAAGGGATCCAAATTCCTATTCGAATTATCTTGGCTAGATCACAGGAGGAGATTGGGCTTGGATTCATGCACGGCTGATTTCACGTGACCGCGTCTGCCTGGCGTGGAACTCACGCGGAGAGCTGATAGCACGAGATGTTACGCGGGATTCTGACTTTGCTGATACTTCTAAAATCGGGGAAGGGAAGTGCTGGAGTACATAAAGTCGCGCAGAACCGGGTCGCTCATGAAACTCTATGATTCGAGTCAGACTCTATTATTCATGTGGCAGGTCTGGTGGAGAAAATTCAGATTCTTTATAGGCGTGAATGAAATTGAATACAGAATTCTTTCTATTGTTGGTGCCAGAAACCGTAGTTTGGGCCGAAGTCACTCATGCGATGATGCCCTGTCAAATCGCGAATGAATATCATTCGGCGGGTGTGGCCAAGCTTTCTGTACAATTGACCTCGAGCTCAACTTAATTTGAATTGATACAGATGTCACCAGTTATCGCTGGAAAGATGCTGAAAATCAAGCTCTGATGAATACCCTTGTGACGTCTCAACAGGTTTGGCTTTGCGTAGCGCTGACACCAGTGGAGAGTGTGCAATGTGTTGTCAATGGACGAAATCATGAGAACTTGCACAGGATCATGAGATCCTTGATTCAATCAGAGCGAATTTCTGTCTCGGTGCGGGGGTCTATTCAGACCAGTACATGACACAGTAGCTACTTGCATGTGACCACATCTTTTGTTTGTTTGAATCCACATTTGTATTCCGCAACAAGTAAACTAACCACTACTTAAGACGCGGTGATGTCTCCATATTGAATCCCGTGAACCAGAACGTCATGCCCGCTCTTATGTGCTTCCCGCTGCGACTGAATCGAATATTATCCCTCGACATTTACGGGCTTTCTGTTCAACATCACGCGAATCAGTCAAATCGAGGTGAAAAGCAGGAGTGGGCCTCGGGCGACGCACGGCATAAGTTGACACACGTGAACTTGTTGGGCGTGCACTCGGAGGACGTCGGGAAGCGGGCGCAGCAGCTGCGGCAGTGCTCGAGGCACCACCACTGTAATGCATTTGTCCGTCATCGCGCGGACTCAGCGGATGGGCGGATGGGTGTGACGTACGTCGACGGCCCTTGCCCGGGGCAGTCTGCGGACTGAGCGAGGACGCCCGTAGACGCGGCGAGCAGGGCGAGGGTCGAGAGAAGCAGGCTGAACCGCATGTCGATTTGTTTTTTTTTCGCGGGTGTCTCGGGAACCTTCCCCAGGGCTCATCCCGTTCTTATACTCGTCAAGCCTCCGTGGGCAAGTTGCGCCGGAGATTTGCGGGCAATCAGCGCCCGATAGATATGTTTGTAAGTATCAACGCACCGTTGTACACAGCGGTGGCAGAGAAGCCGTGTCTATCAGTTGAGCCGATTAGATCAAAACCGGCTCGAGCGCGGGGGCACCGTGACGTGATCGCTACTTGTGGTCTCCTCCACGGTCCAATTGCGGCAACGACCCCGGCAATGTGAATGAAGCGCCGTGTTCTGTCGATGCTGACCGCTGAACTTTATCTCACACTCGTAACATGAAGGGGATCCGGTCCGCCTCGACCCGTCAGCCCAGTCCACTTCATGTCTGCGGTTCCAATCAAGCTGAAGACGATTCTCGAGAAAGGCCGCTCCCCGGACGGATAGTTTCGAGGTATCGTTTGGTTCTCTCAGCTCGACTAGGGTGTGCAAGGTCACGCTGACACACATCTGGATTCTCAGGCTTAGATTTGGCATTACGGACTGACAACCAGTGACAAGATGGCTTGTTGGACGACTCTATCCGACTCTCGCAGTCTTTGATTAGATGGCAATCAATCCATGGCTAGCCCGACTCAGGCCCAATCTACACGAGTGAATCCCGCCCATATCGTCGATTTTGACGGGTCCTTTGCATTTCGTGGTCAAGTGATATATTTGCTCAAAACGGATCAATACCTAGAACCCTCAGCGCCCCACTGAAGCCGGTCAATACCAATCCACGTCGCCACCCTCGGGACGACTCACGGCAATCGTTGATACAGAGGATCGGACTCGGGTGCGTGGGCCGACGCACTCCTCGTCGGTCGGATGAGCAGCGCAGCACTCGGCGCAGAAGTTGTGGCATTGCTGCGCGGGGGATGTCAGCCTGGTCGAGGCGGCCGCGGGTGCCAGAATGAGTAGTACTGACCGCGGCGGTCCCGTGCCCGATGCAGACTGATTGCCCGAGGATGCGCGTCGACACGGTCAGCACGACCAGGGTGGACAGGAGCAGGTGGAAGCGCATGGTTCGATCTGCGGCTGCAGCGGTTTTGCCGTTCTCGCCAGCGGCTTCTTATACTGACTGACTGCCCGGACTGGGATGTCATCGATCAGAACATGGCTGAGTGCGCGCGTTTTGACGGTCAGGCCCTGGATGGCCCGTCACGACCTTTATCAAGCGCACTTGAGCTGGTGTCGGATAGTCTGTCTCTGACGTCTGGAATTTCGCTCGACATGTGCAATGAACGATACCGAGCCTCATACTACATACGTAACGATCCTCATATGCTGACTACGCGAGTTCCGAACATCAGCACCCGCGAGCTGTTGTGCCACAAAAAAAAGCACTCACGGCAATCATTGAAGCAGGGCGTGGACGTGCCCGGATTGTGCATACACTCCTCGTCCTGCGGATTCGCAGCGCAGCAGTGCGCGCAGAGCGTGCGGCATTCCTGCGGCCGTCGTGCGTCAGCGCGAACAGGAGCGTGGACTGGAAGCAGGGACTAAGGAGGACGACGGACCGACGGCGATGATTTGAATGCGCATACGCTTTGGCCGAGAGTGCGCGGTGTCGAGATGCAGATCACGACCAGGAAGGTCGAGAGGAAGAGGCAGGTCAATCGCATGATCAGGGCTGGGTTTCAATTTTTGAGTCGCAACGCTGCTGCTGCTGCTGACCGACTTGGATGATGCTTTCTCACACAGACGCTTTATACGCGGACGTAAACACGATGGCGCGTGACGAGATGCCAAGCTACCGCTCGAACGCTCAGTCTGACGGACACTGCCCTGACTTGTTTAGCACTCGCGCGTAGATCCGTCACGACCTTTATCAAACGCTCCCGGACCGGTCTAACCACACGCAACACAAAGGGCCTCGGAAGCGAAAGGAAAAGTACATTGATTTCGTTTCGTTTCGTTTCGTCTCGTTCATTCAGATTTGTTTACGTTGTCCGCCGACAGCGCGCGGAGGTCGCCCTGCAGACTCCAGAGGATGCGCTCCATCCGGGCGTTTTCCGCGCCGCCGTGCCCCGCGCTCCCGAACGCGCTGTCCATCTCCTCGAGCGACTTGCCGTACGTCTCGGGCAGGACCCAGATCGCAAAGGCGATACCCATCAGCAGGAACATGAGGAAGAATCTGGGTGGGCGGATGGGCATCGATGCCATGCGGAGGGAGCGGGACTTACAGGTATGTTCCGTAGGTTATGGCGGAGAGCATGTCGGGGACGACGACCGACACGACGAACTGGGCGACTGACATCAGATGATTCCTTTTGGAGCAGAGCGGAACGAACATTGGTCATCCAGTTCGTCGATGCGCCTAGAGCGACGCCGTGCGCGCGGTGGACAGTGGAAACACTTCAGATATAACCTATCACAGCCATCAACGCTCAGCATGCCCCAGAAAACCGACAACGACTCACAGTCCACGACACCGGCCCTGCCCCACCGCGTAAGCAAATTCAACATATCCAGTTTCTTTTCGAGACGCACCCCACGACATGCCGAAAAACGCTACATACAACCACAGAAATACAGCCGTCGACCAGGCCGCGGCCGTATTTTCCCAGCGCGGCTGGTACGTCGCGGATAGCGCTGCGACGAGGATGAGCATCGCTGCCATGCCCGCGCCGCCCCCAATCAGCAGGCCGGCGGCCGATCCGGTCGATCGTCGCAATCGCCGGGAGGGTGGATATCACGAACACCACTGCGCGGGTGGATCAGATGTGTGAAGGCGGGGGACTCTAGGTGGCGGCGGCGGCTGCGGCGTACCTCCGATGACGCCTGCTGCGAGGAGCGACACGGTGTGTCCTGGGAGGCCGAGGGACTGGAATATCGTCGGGGCGTAGTATACCTAGGCGGGCCGAGAGAGGCAATCGATCAGCGTCGACATACTACGGCAAATTCCAGTGTCGTACGATTGCATCGATCCCGGTCCTGAGGAGTCGATCAGTTCAGCGGACAGGCAAAAGGCGAAGAGAAGGGGGTAAAGTACATTTGTTGGAAGAATTGGGTGAGACACGCCACTGGGAGACAAGTCTGTCAGCCTGGACCCGTTCGCTGATTGCCCGGTACAACGTACCGGCGGTTCGTTTGAACATGTGCTTAGTTGCGAACAGCTCGCCGAACTGAGCGATCTGCAATTTCAGTTCCTTTCCTGCACCTTTGCCCAACAGGTGAGGGAATCGCTCCGCGGTAACCTCGGCCTCTAATAACATCAAAAGCGACAATTGATGAAATCAACCAGTCAGTCCTGAACACGGGCCAAATACGACCACACCCACCAAACATCGCCTCGGCCTGGATCTCGACGAATTCGAGCTGCACGATCTCCGAGTCTGGCGGCATGTTGCGCAGCCACGCGAGAGTCTCGAGCGCTTGGGCGTGGCGCCCCTTGCGGACTAGCCACCGCGGCGTGTACGGCAATGTGAGCGTCAGACCGGCGAGGAGGAGGGCGGGGATGCCTTGGCCGGCGAGGCAGAGCCGCCATGAGACGGAATTGGAGGCTGAGATGAAGTTGGTCCCGTAGCCGACCCTGGTTGTTGGATAAGCTATCTGCGGCTTTGGAAAGGTAGAGATGAGGGTCACCAGAATGAGATGCAAATACCGGAAACGATGGCCAGCTGTTGGATTGAGACGAGCGTGCCGCGGAGCTCAGGAGGGAGATCTCAGAGTTGTACCTGGCGAGTGTGAGACTATGGCCTCGAGGGCGCGGTAAAGCATCGCGTACAAGGGTACCACTGCCGATAGACTGCCGACCGCCCAGCCAATAAAGAATCTGCCGACGAACTGTGGGGAGTTGAAGATATGCGTGGATTCGAGAACGATGAGTTGAATTACCATCCAAGCGACATTTTGCGCGCCGGTGGTCAATGCGGTACCCAACAACATATAAACGCGCCGACGAGCAGAGTCCACCGGCGAGACAGTCTGTCGCATAGATAACCCTTCATGTCCGTGTCAGACTTGCGCAATGGGGACTGGATCAGCTGCTGCTGCGTACATTCGAAAGTGCACCGGCCCAACCGCCAAGCCCCAGTGTGCTGTAAGTGCGTGTGAACGAGAAGCTCTGTCCTGTGCGAGCGACGGACGCACGAGACGCTCCACCCCTTGAACGACGAGTCGTGTGCGATCCGGGCGAACTTGGGGTTGCTGGTGAACGCATCCATCACGAGGACCTGCGAATACGCGCCCTGCTCGTAGCCTGCAGACGAGGGATGTGTCAGATGAGGGCACGAGTTCCCCGGCGGCGGCCGCGCTGACCGTAGCAGAGGGCGCCCAGGTGGTGGTCATCGCGAGCCGGAGCAGCCGCGGGTTGTGGTACAGTCCAAGGAGGCCCGATGGGCCGGCGAGCTCGGCGCGACGGGCCGCGTTGGTCGCTTGCAGCGCTGTGTGGTCCATCGGGGGGAAATGGGGGGCGAGAAGGGGGAGAACCGTGGCTGCCGGCACGTCTCGCTCTTATAAATTTAAGAAGACCGCGCGCCTGTCCCGGGGGCGTCACCCGACTCTGGCACGGTGGAGGCTGAGTGGAGCTGTCGCTGACCCGGAAACCCAAATGTGGGGCAGTCTCCTGACACGCGAGGAAAAGAACGAGTGAAAGCATCAGAGAAGATGAGAGGTCGGGCCTCGCGGTGATGGCATGACGTGTGGGGATGGGCGCCGGGATTAACCTTTTGACGCGCGTCGGTGACTTCAAGCAGCCGACGTGTGGCGGTGCGGGCGCCTTTCGCTTTGGTGCGCTGGGGAGGAGCTATCGATTGGGTGCAGGATGAAATATTTGTGTGCGTCATGTTACGATGGCGGAGATGTGATATATGGTGATACATGATGATCTACAAGGTGTGTGAAGGACACGCTGATGCAGGTCCGTCTACCCCGGATGTTCAAATCGCCGGACTGGTTACCCCACACTATTTGCGCTGTCATTCACATGTCGCGCGGATCGGGGGCTCGGACACTCGGTCCAGGGTCTCTCTAACATGCACATCCACTGCGCTCGGACAGTCACCCAACTGGTGTAATCCGCATGGGCAGGGAGCAAGCGAGTTTAACGCCGAGGGCTGCAGTAGGCAGTCGTGGGCACCCTCATTCACGCACAGACATGGCCGGTTTTACGACACTGGGAACAAGATTGCTGCTGGTTACCATCGTCAGAGATGTCAGATCGGGGCGGTAACCCCTGGAGAACTCGATCGACGGTCTGAATGGATCGATTGAGTGCTTGGGAGCGAAGCACCGAAGCCGGGAACAGGGCAGTGAGGCCGGAAATAGTGCAGCGAGGCGACGAAGCGACCAAGGCTCAGGCCTCACAAGGTCGTGCATCGATGGTGCAGCAACGTGTCCAGCACGAGCTTGGGAAAGAACGAGAAACATGAGTGATTGGCTTGGCCGGGACGTGTTGCGGTACATACAGCCGCAACTGAATGGTGATTGAGTCACTTGCGGCGACGCTTCCGAGCAACGGAGGGCTTGGGTCACGAGTCTGGCGATCGCGGGGGACCGTTCCCGACTCGACTGGACTGGGGTTTTTCAGATGCGATCCATAGAAGTCACAGAAAACACGCGAAATGAGGGCAAGGATGCAGCCAAACGCAAGACTGAGATTGGGCAGGATAGGCGGTTGAAAATCGTGCTAGCCACGACTACGAGAGAATCGACGGCCGGGATCTTGGGCTCTTCCCAGAAAACCTGTAAAGGCAACAGCTGACCCGGATTGCGGCTGTGCTGTGTGCCCGTGTTTGCGGAGCTTGAAAAAACGACGCTGCTGATCAGTAATCTCTACTTTCTCTTCTTCCCCCCATTCTGCCGTAGAGGTGCGTCCTATAAAACCCAGCAAGATCGTTGCTGATCGTCTCTGTAGGCTTTTCAGCCAACCTAGATATCGCCCATAGAGCGTTCTTTGTCCTGTTAGCCTTGTCCGCAATCACCAGAGATCACCTCTTAACGCATTTCCCACTCTCAAGGTTTGTATCCAAATAGAGGCCTGTAGACCTACTTACGATGGCCACAAAGAATCTAGAAATGCCCGCTGCTACCCCGCTCCCGCTTCCCTCAAGGACTTCGACGTCCAGAGCCTTTTGGTGCCGACAAAGCCAGCCGTGACGCATCGGCCGCCTCGCTTGCTGCGCTCGCCCAAAAGCAGGGTCCCTCCGCCCTCACTGGCGTCACGGATGCCATCATCAAGGCTCTCGGCGACAAAAAGTCTCCCGCTGCCCGCGAGGGTGCCGCAGACGCCGTCAAGACGCTCGCCAAGGAAGGCGGCGTCAAGGCCCTCGAGCCCACTTTCATCAGCTCTGGGTTGTACGCCGCACTCATTGAGGGCTTCGCCGACAAGTTGCCGCCCGCTGCCCGGACAGCGGCTGTCGAGGCTGTCCGCGAGTACGTCGCTGCCATGAACCCATGGGCCTCGCCCAACGTTCTCCCCGCTCTTCTTCACGAAATCAAAACCGCCGGCAAGTGGCAGATCAAGACCGGTTCACTGGTCGTCCTGAACCAGCTCGTCACCAGCGCACCGACGCAGATGGCTAAGCTGACGCCCGAGATCGTGCCTGTCCTTTCTGAGGCCATCTGGGACACCAAGACCGACGTGAAGAAAGCCGCCCGTGATTCGCTCACGAAGACTACGGCTCTCATTTCCAACAAGGACATTGAACGCTTTATTCCGGCGCTTATCAACGCTTTGATTAATCCCGTCGAGGAGGTTCCGAACACCATCGCCCTCCTCTCGGCTACCACTTTCGTTTCTGAAGTAGATTCCCCGACTCTCTCCCTCATGGTTCCTCTGCTGTCTCGGGGTCTGACCGAGAAGCTTACCGCCACCAAGCGGAAGGTCGCTGTGTGAGTGCGCAATCTTCTTTTGGCATCATGCGTGCTGACAAGATGCTTCCAGCATCATTGACAACATGGCCAAGCTTGTCGACTCGGCCGTCACTGTCCGACCTTTCATTCCCAAGCTGCTTCCGGTCTGCTGAAGGTCGAGACAACCATCGGTGACCCTGAAGCCCGGGTGTCGTCAACAAGGCCATCGCGACCCTTCGCCAGGTCGGAGAGGTCCCTGCTGCCAGCGACGGTTCGGACTTGCCTCCTTTGAAGGTCGCTGATGCCGCTGGTCTCGGCGCATCTCTCGGTGCCATCTACAAGAAGCTCAACGGCACAATCGACCTCAAGGACGTCTCGGCTGTCTACGCTGCTACGCTCGCTTCCAACCTCGTCAACCAGCGCAACTTCGATGTCCCTGAGTGGGACCTGCTCGCACCGTACTTGGCTGCGGTCACCACCACTCCGGATGCCATCACGGTCGCACGTGAGTGGGTCGTCAAGTCCGCTGTCGAGGGTGAGGACGATGGTGCCGTCGAAGACGATGAGGAGGAGGGCGAGGACCTGTGTAACTGCCAGTTCTCGCTCGCCTACGGAGCCAAGATCTTGCTCAACACCGCCACCCTCCGCCTCAAGCGTGGACACCGTTACGGTCTGTGTGGTAAGAACGGAACCGGAAAGTCGACGCTCATGCGTGCTATCACGAATGGGTGCGTTCATTCGCTTCGAATTTCATGCCCAGTATCTGACTTGCCCCAAGCCAAGTCGAGGGTTTCCCCTCCCCCGACGAGGTCCGCACATTCTACGTCGAGCATGATATCGATGGCAGCGAGGAAGACACCTCTGTCCTCGAGTTCATCCTGTCTGACAAGCGTATCCTCGCCACTAAGGAGGAGGTCATTGACAGTCTCGCCTCTGTCGGCTTCAACGACGCTCGTCAACAGCACGCTATTGGCAGTCTGTCTGGTGGATGGAAGATGAAGCTCGCGCTTGCCCGTGCCATTCTCTTCCGTGCCGACATCCTGCTGCTCGACGAGCCGACTAACCACTTGGATGTCATCAACGTCGCATGGCTCGAGAACTACCTCACTGGTCTCAAGACCTGCACTTCCAGTGTGTATTCTTCTTAGCTCATGCAGGATTCAGAGACTCATTGATGCGGTTGTTAGTCATCGTCTCGCACGACTCCAGCTTCCTCAACAACACCATCACCGACGTCCTGCACCTGAACCGCTTCAAGCTCAGGAGGTATCGCGGCAACCTGGAGAAGTTCGTCGCCACGGTGCCGGAGGCCAAGTCGTACTACACACTGCAGGCCGCCGAGGACTACCGCTTCAAGCTCCCGGATCCTCCTCTCTTGGAGGGTGTCAAGACCAAGGAGAAGTCGCTGCTCAAGATGCGGAAAGTCGGCTTCCAGTACCCGACGCAGCAGGTGCAGCAGTTGTTCGACATCTCGCTGCAGGTCTCGCTCTCCTCGCGTGTCGCTGTGCTCGGCCCGAACGGTTCCGGCAAGAGTACGCTCGTGAAGCTGCTGATCGGTGACATGGAGGCCAACAAGGGTGGCGAGATCTGGAAGCACCCGAACTTGGTCATCGGCTACGTCGCCCAGCACGCGTTCCACCACATCGATCACCACCTGGACAAGACCGCGCTCGAGTACATGTTGTGGCGTTACCAGACCGGTGAAGATTTGGAGGAGATGACCAAGGCCAACCGTATCATCTCCGAGGAGGAGGCGCAGAAGATGAAGGACGGATCTGCCATCGTCATCGAGGGCAACAAGCGCCTGATCGACGAGATCGTTGCCCGCAAGAAGCTCAAGCAGTCGTACGAGTACGAGGTCACACTTAAGGGCATGTCCTCCTCCGAGAACATCTGGCTTCCCCGTGATGAGCTTATCAAGCGTGGTTTCGAGAAGGTGGGCTTTCTTCATGCAAGCTGGTTTGGCTTGATACTGATAGCATGAATAGAAAGTGCTTGAGGTCGACACCCGTGAGGCACAGCGTCTTGGATTGCTGCGACCGCTCGTCCGTCGCGAGATCGAGAAGCACTTTGCTGACTTTGGTCTGGAGCCGGAGTTCGTCTCGCACAACACGATGCGTGGTCTGTCCGGTGGTCAGAAGGTCAAGATCGTGCTCGGCGCTGCTACATGGCGTCGTCCCCACGTCATCTGTCTCGATGAGCCTACCAGTACGTGTCTACTCGGGTTTCACGGGTCTTTGATTGTTTGCTGATATCGGTCATTAGACTACCTTGATCGTGAATCGCTCGCTGCCCTTATCGAGGCGCTCAAGGTCTTCGAGGGTGGTGTCCTGATCATCACGCACAACCGGGACTTCTCCGAGTCGATCTGTTCTGAAGTCTGGGCCATGCGTGACGGGCGTCTGGAGGCATCTGGCCACAACTGGGTTGAGGGCCAGGGCTCTGGACCCCGTATCGACAAGGCTGATGGCGATGAGGAGGTCCAGTACGATGCGATGGGTAACAAGATCGAGGTCAAGAAGGTCAAGAAGATCAGCGCGTCCGAGGCTAGGAAGGTGCGTCGTTGTCCCTGTCCATTCTGCTACTGTGCGGATGCTGATATCTTTTTGTGCAGCTCAAGAAGGAGCGGATGGCACGGAAGAAGCGTGGTGAGGATATCACTGACGACGAGCTCTAATCGCTGCCGCCGGTTGTTTCATGTTCTATTATCCCTCTGTCCATGTTTCTGTTGTTCTTTACGCTCAATGTTTCCGTACGCCGCATCGCATGTATCCTGTCTAACGTATTCGCCATCGTGCGGGAATGAATCTACTACACACTTTCTATGTTTCTCACTTGGCCACGCTATCTGCTCTTTGAAAGGATGAAAGGATGAATGCTGCTCAGCTGACTTGGGTTCTAAACTTGAATGTAGCAGCGGTACTACTATATAAAAGAACCTGCCAGGGGGTGAGACGACGCACTGTTGTCTGTCGAAACCATGCGCTTCACCGCCCTGTTCTCTGTCCTCGCGGCCCTCGTCATGCTTGACGTGCAAGCCCAGACTACACCGCCGGACCGTTCCTGCCTTGGGCATGGCGATGCAGTGGTCAGTGCGGTCTACCCTTGACCTCATTTCTACATGCGCTGACCGACCGTCAACAGGGCTGCGCGGAGTTCTGTCGCTCGTGCTGCGCCCTGTTCCCGAATGCCGCCGAGTGCGAGAGCCTGTCTGCGTGCAAGATTGATTGTCGTACGTGCAAGGATTGGGTGGTTATCGACCCGCGGTCCTGATTCTCGTCGACAGAGGGACTGTAGCATAACTGCGGATCGTGTGGCGGCTCTGGCACGTTCGTGAGGTTGTACTTTGTGTATCGGAATTCGAATGTGGGATGTGAGGAAGCGCGTGAACCGAGGATCCCAATTTGGAACCAGACCCGATACGGGGTGGTCCGTATCGTAGAGCTATTGGGGCAGGCCCGAGGGTCTGTCTCAGATTGACACATCGCTGAGAAAACCGTGAGGTTCCAGTGCGGCTGGCAGAGCAGCGGTCGAGGAAGGGGATGTATAGATCGAGAAGCATGAGCACGCCTGGTGACAAGCGTCCAGAAGGGGCGAGCTCTTTGGACTAGGAAAAAGTGATGATTATCAGTGTCTGCGCACTCTGTGCTGTTGCATCAACCTTCGAGCACTCACACAGGCTGTCCCGGCCGCCGAGAATAGGTGGCTGGCCCTGACTTGGCTGGTCATACGTATTTTCAGAGTGATCCAGTGCGCTCAACTGCGATTGGTGTTTGTCTGCGGCAGCATTGAGACACTCTCTGATTCCAAGCCGCTCGTCTTGGAACGCCACGAGCTCGGACTTCGACTGGCATCGACTCAGAGCTGACACAGAGAAAGGTGAGAAACGACCCTGCGGCTGTGGTGCCTGAACGTGGGCGGGAGCTGGGTTGAGGGTTCCACAGATGTTCGGGTTAACAAGCTAGGAGATCATAGCGGTGTGCAGGCGATGTGACGTTCCTTGACGAGCCCTTCCAGTGTATACGTAATCCAGAAAGGCAAGCGTGTTTCACAGAAAAAGAGTCAGAACCGAGCCGGAGGTTCCATGAGGGGAAGCCGTCGCAGTGCTGGCAGTGCCAGCTCGTCAGACCTGATTTTCTCCCCCGTAAAGAGAAGCAATCACGGGGAGCTGCGAGAGCGCGAAACTGGCATGTCATCGAGGATATGAAAGCGTCCACTGGTGCATATCGTAGTATTGGGAAGTCCAGACATTCGTTTCTCATCCAAGATCGACGAATGGTCAGTACTCAGTCCCCATAGGCGCGCTGTTCGAGAGCATATTGCTTGAGTACCAGATAGCACAGCCTAGCCATACGCCTCAGAGCGATCAGACCAGAAATCCTGAGGCGACAGCGGGTTTGGCGGGACACAGTGTTGACACTGGGATCAAAAACGCACGGAATCTTCAGCCCTAGCAGGACCGCGTCGCCCACGGAAAGCGTAGTCCCAGGGGTGTGGAGTGCCTTCCAAGCTTCGGATAGCCCGTTTTTGATGACCCCTGTACTGGCCGAAAGCCCAGTATAGCCCTCTTAGCAACATTCGTCATCAATTCCGCTGAGGCAGCCCAATCCAGGTCTTCTCCGCGTGTATATTCGCCGCGTAAGAAGAGAACCGACGCCCTCGGTCCGTCGGCAGTACAAAGGAAAGAAAAGCTGCTGGCATTCCAAGTTTCAAGCCATGCCGGAGGACGAACGAAGGGGGCTCGAAGACACAACAGAGATGGGCTCGAATGACGAGCGTGATGATGGTGCCAAGAAAGAGGGTGGAGGGATCCATGAGGACAACGACGGCGATGGCGATGAGTAGGATGTCACCAAGGGTGATCGAACATGCCAGCACTATGGTTTCGGATGGGAGACGAGTTAAGAGGTTTCAGAAAGCGGACGTGCGAGGTTTGAGCGCAGTCGAAGGGATGGAAAGCATTCAAGGAGCTCTGGTGTTTCAAAAACGGACGTCAGTTTGGGGGAACGTGACGATATCGTAAACCGGTAGACTGATTTGTTTTGAAGTGCCGGAGAAGATTCAGAACGTCCTTCAGTCGACTTCGGTAGAGCGTCGCCGGTCGACGAAACGCTAGAAATTTTGCCATTTGGGCCCACCGAGTTGTTTGGAGAGCTAGAAAACCTAGGGTGAGCCTTCTATGTGGATCATTTGATTAGCCACAGAGCCTGGCGTTTACTATTCATGCATGTATTGGGCGGGAAGAGATGATGCTAGTTGATTGCGACCAAGTACGAGAGCCTAATGGAGTTGACCGAGTCGTGGGAAATCAGTCCAACTTTCTCTGATGTGGACCACATTTAGCTCTCATTCCCTGAGATGTCCTTCTGATTCTGGCTTCTTTGGCTTGGGGAAACTGCAGTCAGTTCTCAAATGCTCAGCCCCTCTGCTGAAATAACGAGTCGTCTAACGCTGCCAGGCTGCATCACTAAGAAGATTTCTGGGCTTGCCAATTCACTTATCGAGCTCACTGCAGCGGCATCCGGGATCGCTGTGAGGGGCCGGTGACCGATGACATCTGGAATTGTTCTTTCAGCAATGAACAAGTCCACGGATTAGCTTGCTAAGTCGGTCTGTCTTGGAGGTGGAACTTAAAATGGACCAACGGTTACAAGACGAGCAGCAACATCCTTCTCTACAAGTACCAAAACCACCACCACTGCTACCACTTTCACCACTAGCATGAACGTCGAATTCACCGTCCTCAAGGACTCGAAAGCCGATGGCATCGTTGAAGCAACGAGCTCTCGACTCAAGCCAACCGGGGTCCAGTCCTGGTCAGCATCACGCATTCCGGCATCTGCGGCACCGACGAGCACTACAAGCACGCAGACATGGCGTTGGAGCACGAAGGAGTCGGTGTCGTCGAGCAAATTGGCTCTGACGTGTCTGCGCTGCGCATTGGCGATGTCGTCGGATAGGGATACAGTCCACAAGACATGCGGCAAATGCGAGCGCTGTCTCACGGTTAGTCCGCTTTCTGCGAGCCCTCTCTGACTCTCGCCTGATGCGCTTCCAGGACAGGACCAGTACTGCACGGACCACGAGATGTACGGCATGCACAGCTTCGACCAGGGCTCGCTCGGCACGCACGCTGTCTGGAGTAGCCGTCCCTCTTCCAGATCCAGCAAATCTTGCCCCAGAGCACGCTGCCCCCTGATGTGCGGCGGCGCGATGTGTTCGAGGTGATCGAGAGCTACAACATCCGGCCCACGCAGCGTCTCGGCGTCGTCGGGATCGGCGGGCTGGGACACTTATCGGCGGGCTGGGACACTTGGCGGTCATGTTCGCCGCGAAGATGGGTGCGGAGGTTGTGATTTTCTCAAGCTCGGGGTCGAAACGAGAGGAGGCAGCGCGGTTGGGGGCGTCGGAATTCCACGGGACCCAGGCTCTGACCCAATTCAAGAACATGCGGCCGCTGGACCACTTGATCGTGACGACTAGCTTCATCCCATCCTGGGGCTCCCTACCTGGTTGTGATAAAGCGGAAAGGCACGATCTACCCACTTACGGTCAGCCAGGACAACTTTTCCATCCCCAGTCTTCCCCTCGTCTTGGGCGGAATCAACATCCAGGGCTTGACCATCGCTGCCCGCTCAGTCCACCGCCGCATGGTCGATTTCGCCGCACGCAACCAAATCGAGCCGATGATCGAGAAATCCCCGATGACGAAGCAAGGTGTTGAGGAGGGCATGTCTCGGCTGAAGGAAGGCAAGATCAGATACCGGGCTTTTCTCGTCGTGTAATAGCCTGGATTGAAAGTATACACTTACATTCTACATGACTATGCGTATAATCGTATCACCAACACAGTATTACCGAATATGAAACTCGATTTCACTGAGGTACCAAGACTATCCTCGCGTAGGGCGGCCAGATGGTCCCAGCCTTCTCGCCCTCCGCCACCCAAAGCCCAACCTCGGACAGCTGTGGAGCCGAGCTACCAGCACAAAAGACTCTTGCTCAACACCTCGAGCCACCGCCAGGATCAGACTCGGCGCTCTCTTGCCTTGCGCGGAAGGGTTTGCCAGCGTCCATGTCGCCTTCGTCGCATGGCCTGTTTGCGGCTGGGAGTCAACTACCGCGCTGATCTCTTTCAGTGCCTGCCAGAACCCGGGCTCGGAGTCGGTGAGCAACAGAATATGGGCAATTCCTTGTGCCCCAATGGCTGCTGCGTATTGCTCTCCGGTTTGGTAGGTACCTTGAGCAGTGAGTCAAGAAAATTTCTCGAGGTTCTTCCTCAGCAATTGAAGACTCACTCTCAGTGCTCTGTCTGTGACATCGCCGCAAAAGAACGGAAGCAAGCTCGCCTTCTTCGCAGCCGAGCTGATCACCCATTTGAGCACCTGTCCGTCTGGCCGCGTGCGACCTCCGGGAACCTCATCCACATACAGCTTCTCTCCCCCTGCCCTGCTGTTGATCACATCCGAGATACGTCCCGGCGGGACGAGCGACCCGTTGCCCAGGAAGGCGTAGTCTATCCACCCTGGTGGGCAGGAGGCCCATTTGTGCTCTTCACGCGCCTTTCGGATCGGGGACCCAGGCGGATAGGCGTCGACGGGCTTGGTGAATGCGATCAGCTCGAAGTAGATGTGATCGCTCAGTATCTGTGCAACGGGGCTTGCACTTCAAGCGGGGGATGCGGGCAAGTGTAAGGCATACCACGAGCGTGTTTTCGGTCAGACCGTCCGCGTGAACACCTCCCTCGATGACGCTGCATGATGGAGGGGGATAATATGATCAGACAGAGAGTAGCAGAAAGCCGTTTGTGTCGTACTTGAAGCCCAGTTCGCGCCACTGGGCTGCGTTTTCATGGACGGTCCCTGGTGGTGAGAGGTGTACGATATGATCCAGCGTCTTGTGTTTACGCTCATAATTGCGTACAGCGCCTTGCGGATTGGAACTGAAAGTGAGCGTGCTGGGAATCTCGATCAGTCATCACGGTGGTCGCGCAATACGCAATCCAATTTCACGATATCTTGCACTTCTTCACTCAACCTTGATTGTCTACGCTTACCTCTTCATTTAGCTATTGTTCCTCGTTCCAGCTAGCCTCTGTCCCTATACTCCTCCGAGCGTTTGAAACGTCTTGGCGCCGAAATTACGGGTAATCAGGAGGCGCACATCAAGGTTGAAGTTAAGAGGGATCTTCCGCGGAAACCAACGATCTCATCCCCATCCAATTACTCTTCCCCACAGCACTGTTTCTTAAGCCCTCTGTATGATTATCATCATTGCTGTTGGATCCTCCACATATATAGTCTAAGTGCTTGATGCCGATCCGATACCTGCTGGTTCTTCGATCTGATTCATCGCCATCTGGGACTCCTGGGAGTCACCGCTACATTGCAACGCGTATTTGTTCATCACCCCTTGGAACTTGTAGTCTGTGAGCTGTTCTCCGAGGACTTTATAGCACTCATGAGTTGCTTCGTTGTGATAACTGCTCTATCCTGACCTGTGCGTTCGATGTCCGACTCTCGGCAAACTTCCTTCGGGATATTGGAAATGAGTGGGTGCTGCCCTTGAGTCTATGGGCTGCTGCAACTGATGCTCTTTCAGGACGATCCCTCTGTACGTCGGCACGCTTTTCAACTGCACGCTCTTTGGCGTCCTCCTTGTACAAATATGTGCGTTTTTCTTTGGCCATATTCAAGAGACTCATCAGAGCACAGGCATCTACTTTCTGGCGGCCTTTCCCCATGACCGACGGCGGGACAAGCGCTGGTGTGGGCCATCCTTGCAGTCGAAATCGTTCAGACAATTAGCAACATCAAAGACAAGAGCAGGTATTCGGACACGGATGGGAGACCCTAGCGAACTGAATAAGGTTGGGATGGTGTGGTTCAATGTGCCCCTTCTTGGTTCTATCGGTGCGCTTTCTGTTGTACAGCTTCAAGCTTCAGACTAAGAAATCTTGGACAGTCGCGGCGGTCGGTCAGACCTTCTTTGCGTACAGAATATATATCATTGGGAAGAGCTGGTATCTCCCTGCATTCTCACACTTGTATGTAAAGTGTCTCTCGACCAGAGCACCTCTCTCATCTATCATCTCATCTCTCGCTGGCTCAATGTGGTGCTGGTATCTGGACTGGTGTGATCATCGACGAGCGGGGCACATTCTCCAACCTCCAATTCAACTTCTTCAAAGCACCTGCTGCGTGGCTTATCCTGACCGCCGCGAACGATATCGTTATCGTTGTCGGGACGTGCTACTGTCTGCTCAAAGCACGCGCGCCGGGCTTCTCGCGCGCCACGGAAAACATGCTCTCGCGCGCGTCATGAAAGTAACCACCATCACTGGCCTTGTCTGTGCAGTCCTGGCATTGGCGGATCTAACCATTTTTGCCGTGTTTCCCCAGGCCAGCTTCCATTTGGGCCTCTGCATGGGTTTGTCCAAAGTGTACTCGAATAGCATCCTGGTTGTGCGTGGTTTCCTTTGCGACTTGACAAGCATTCCGTCGCTCACGTGTCCCATTTTCTGACCAGATCCTGAATTCGCGCGCTCGAATCTCGCTCCGTCGTGACGAGGCACCAAGTGAGGTGTCGGGCTTAAACTTCAGACTGACAGGCCTCAAGACTGGCGGTGGCGCCGATACCGGTTTTGAAACCAGACAGTCAACAGACATGTAGTTCATACCAATAAGTAAGGCTCCCGTCCGCCTGGCGCCGTGAAACCAAGAGTGATTGATCGTCACCCTTAACTCCTGCTCGCCGCGGTTCTCGGAAAAACCATTTTTAAGTTGTCATCCGCGATATCGTCTGATGCTCTCATATTGGAAGAATTCAGTCTGGTCATCCTCAAGGCTCAGTGGAGTCGGACCAGTTGTGGCTTGATGGAGCGGAAGATCCACACGTGATACACTGCCACTTGTATCCATCCACAGTGCCAGTCTCTCGCGACCGTCACGAGCCGTTACGGTGAGGTCGAAAGACAACCACTTCTTTTCCTTGGCAAGCCAAACGCGGGTGTGGTCTATCTGCGCTCATCTTTCCGTCGCCTGGGCCGTATCATCGTGGTGATCACCACTGCAT